CATGATGCAATTTGGGAGAAGCAGATGAGTTACTATGCATGGGGAAAAAAAATGCTTCTTTACTGCCAATTCCCACAGTGTGCCCGAGGTCATCACACCTGCTGTCCCCTCACCCCAATTTTTTTTTTTTTTAATCAGAGTAATTATAACAAGCTTAGCCAATTCTTGACTCAGGATGCTTCATCTCAAAGAGAGCATTATAATAGGAGCATGCAACTAGACAAACATGTACCACTTCTGTAACTATAGCTTAAGTAGACATAGAGCACAACCACCCTTGCCATGTACTGTAGCGCGCCCATGATGAGCTGCCACGTGCGAGGCGCTAGATTCCAGATCTGTATCTGGTAAACATATGAAAACGAGAGCTCGATAATCCTCTGCAATCTCGACCGCTTGCCACTTAAAAGCTCCGTTCTGTAAAAGCCCAGCCTCACGCTCCCTAAACCTAGAGGCAGAGTAACACTGGTAAACGTACAGAAATATTTTTACAATTTTATTAGAGGTTTTAATTCAGTGCTTTATCTGCCTCTGTTAGTCTGCAAAATAGCTTTAAATATTCAAGTGGTAATTAATGAATCTTTTATGTTGCAAATCAAACATTTTCAGCTGTGCTGTGGTACAGTAGCAGCGAGAAGGGAGGGAGTTAAAGTATAATTGTTTCTACTGTTCCCTTTCCAGTGCTGAATGCCTTTCTACCCCTTATTATATCATTGGCTTTTGCTTCAGTTCATCAGCGCCGTGCCACCTCTTATCGTTCGATATTTGCTCTTTTCTTTTCCTTTTCTTTTTTTTTTTTTCTTCAGTTCAAGATTTCGTACTGCGCCGTTGCCAGAGACATTCCTGAGTAGATGGAAACTCTCTGAATGTGGAATTTTCGCATGAGTGCAAAATAATAAAAAGCATGTGTGTATTAAAAAGGGATCAACTTAATGGGAAATGAGCATTGGGTTACATTAATATTCTATTACAGTAAAAATCATATTTAATAAATTTTCTCCAGATTTTTTTCAGAATCTTACTGTATTTTTCTAAGTGGTATGCCAATCCAAAGAAACAGTATATATGATACATTTGATTTATCCTAAGTAAATAACCTGCACGGCCCTTTTTTTCTCTGGTTTAAAAAAAAAGTATATATTTTTAAAGTGTAGAAACACACACCAGGCTAAAATGTGTGCTTAGTTTCCATGTGCTGGGAGACAAAGTATTAGCCTTCTGCAGCTGAAAGCCTTTATAAACAGTATTTTATTTTATTGACACTATATGTGGATTTTTACGTTCTGTGGCAAGAATATAAGAATGAAAACATTGTAATGTAGCCTAAACCATAAAATTACACTAGTTCTAAAGTAATTACTTCGCATACAAAGGACAGCGTCCTTCACTTTCTTTTGTCATTACATAGAAGTAGGACGCAGGCGTTGCAGTGCGAATGGGCATCCGCTTTTCCCGTCTTCCATAACGCTCACCAAAGGATTGACACCTCCTTGATTGTACGCTCTATCAGCTGACCCTTGTTGTTCCATGACCCTAATTAATATTATACTCAGTGACATTTATGTATCAGAGCAATAAGCTAAACAGGAAACAATTTATGTCACCTAAAGCTTTTTAACAAATCGATGCAACTATTTGTAATTGCTTGTTTCACAAGATTAAAAGTACTCAGCCTTGATCTTCGCCCACGGTTTTGTGGCCAACATGACCTGTGCTTCCGCTGTAAAATAGGAGTGTTGGTGATCAGCACCTATTTCCATCAAGTAATCCATATTGCTAATATTTCTGGAATTTTAATGTAGTTACAATTTATAGCCGATCAAATGTGGTTACCTAAATTGCTGTTGCTAGTAGACAGTTTAACTGTCTTTATTAATTACAGTATAATTTAATGTTTGAGTACAGGCACTTGTGTTGGTCATTTTTACAGCTAAAGCAGTTATGCGCCTTATGACGAACCATTTTAGCATTTTCAATGGAAATTTGCTAATATGATGAGTGATAAAAATGTCAAAGTCTGGTAAATAATGGTTATTGCTTTGGCTGGAATTAATCCTTGAAAGGACGGTTACCTTCAAATTAACATTATAACTTGAAGAAAAAATGTTTTTCAGGCTCCTGTCCTACATGGAAAAAAGAAAATGACCACTGAAGTCTTCCAAGCAAACATCTTCACAATTTGAGATGCTGAGGGTTGATTTTATGGATGCTCCTTTAAACGAACTTATGCATGGGGAGGAATGGGTATTTTTGGTACCTCTCACATAGCACACAGTGTCTTATCATGTCTAATTCTTTGTCTCTCTGAAGCAGCTAATCACGTTATTACAATTATGTTGCAACTATCAGTCCTGACTAGTGTGGGCTCACGTGCATGGCTCAAAGTCCTGTTGACTTGCATGGACTGTATGAGTTGTAGTAGCAAGGGACCCCAGTGGGGTATCAGCAGCTCAGTGCAGTAGGCAACAGGCAAGCAGAGAAAAGCAAGAGCCCTGCCCAGAAGTGTTTATCATCCTAATAGATTTAAGCACATGCTGGAGTGCTTTGTGAGTCAGTGCTCTAAACTCCAGCGCTGCAAGTGAATCCATATGGGTAAACCCCAGTGTCTGCGGAGATACGCCACGGGAGTCAATGGGGCTCCACGCAGAGCCATTTGCTGGATCAGTGTTTCAACCTAAATATTTTACCACACTGAAAGCAGTGTTTGCACACAAAATAGGATTCTCCGCCAACACATCGTATTTCACCACATTTGTCAACCGCTTCAGCTGAGACGGAGGTTTGCAACAACAAACTCGGTAATATTAGAATGAGGAGTACTTCTGTTTGACAGAATTAACCACCACTACAACCAAGATGAAAGATGGCCTTGATTAACACACGTTTACATGAACATTTAACATCATCGTTGAAGACGGAGCCTGATTAATAGGTCAAGAAGGGCTAATTATACTTTGTTGTGAGGGAGGAGCGCGTGTGTGCGTGCGAGACCAACAGCGTTACTGCTTGAAATTAGCTTGGGAACGTGGAATGCGTTGCACTCCGTACGGCCAAGCTAAGCTAAACGTCACATTCTGATTGTCTAGAGGCCACATCCAATATCCGTGGGAGAGCTAGACTCGTGTGCCTTGCAGCTGCAGAGCATGCCTGGGACTTCCTTTTTAAATGTCTTATGCTCTGGCCTGTTCTTTTTTCAGTGCAAAACAAACAAAAAAACAACCCGTCCTGGAATAACATGATACCACTCCTCATTTTTTATTCCAGAGATTAAGGAGAAGCTCGAACTTCTCAATCTGTCCTGCATGAAGTTCTACGTTTCCCTGGCAAAGGCCGTTTGAGACTGCTAGGGCCGATGGCATTATTGCAACTCAGGAGCCAGCTGGTGTGGTCAACCACAACGTGGCTGCCGGGCCCCGGAAGATAGGTGGTTTATTGCTCCAGTAATACCAAGTTACACACTTGGTTTACCAGCGCACAGCCACACTTAAATGGGCTGCATTAAGATAGGTATCCAGGTTGTAGCCATATTGGTCTAGAGGAAAAGGCAATCAGGACTCACAGTAGAGATGATATCTTTTATTAGACCAACAAGGTTTTTGCAAAATAAAAAACATCTTTAATTAAGTTGAAGGGAGTTTGTGCCCGAAAGCTTGCAATTAAAGAATTTTTTTCTTTAAAAAAAAAAAATCTTGTTGGCTTAATAAAAGATATCATCTCTGCTATGAGGCCTGATTGCCTACATTAAGACAGGCACGAGGCCAAAAGCTTCATCCTGCTGCTATGCAGGGCAGCGGCCACGTGTCATTTTTGCAAGGCTTCCCCGGGAGCTTCCATTCAGGTTGGTGGGAACCGCAGCATTCGGCTTTCAGAAAACAAGAGCCGTCAGTCTTGCTCTCCTTGCATTCGATGAGAAAGACGGCGTTGACTTCAAAAGGAGCCGGAGTTGGGTTCCTTTTCCACAGATCATGAGTAGAAAGCCTAATTCTCATCTGCCTGGCATGTCTTTCATGCCCGTGCAGTGAGCACGCCAATTGAACGTAAAGCAACTTATTCTGCTTGTTGGTGTTTGCCACCCACTTTGCTCTTTTCCGAACAACACCAGCTTCAAGGTAGCACAGAGGCAGATTGTGAATCGTCCTGGTCCTCAGAAACAGAGGGGTGCCAGTCCCAGGAGAATTCAGCACGTGTTTTATCCACAGCCAATAAGGCAGCACCAGCCCTAATCTCTTAGAGGACCAGTGCCCATCTTGTATTACTCAGAGTGCTGTGTTAAGGGACTCTGGCAGTGATGTCAAATAAACTAGGTAATTTCAGATGCACTTAACTAAGGGCCCTCGGATGCTTTTTTCTAAGATTGTTCTCATGGTGAAATCCAGCACTTTGCCACTAGCGGAGAACACCTTATTCTCTATATTTAGATTATCAAAATTTCAAAATCAATACCACTCCGATACACTATGTTAGAAGGAGCGTGCCAAGAATTTTTTTTTTTTTTTGTGTGCCTTGAAAGTAGTTATCCGGTATAATTTTATGATAGAATATTTTTATAAAATCATTTGTACTAATTTAAGCGTTTATCATTATATGCAAAAAGATTTCTTGATGAGAATATTATAGACGGTGCATGTTTTTGACATTAGCATTTTATTTGGATGACTAATCTTGCAGATGTGAAATTTTTAATGAATTATTCATGAAAACCTCTCCTCTGAAATTTTAGTTTGCTGCTAATGCTAGTTATTAAACATTTTATTTTTCTTTATCAAACTTGATGAAGAAAATAAATGGATGCTTCCTCAAGAGAAAAGGTGGCGGCTTTCCCTTTAAAACTGGGCCGGGAGGACATCACTTTGAAGTTTATCAAACACGATTTGGGGGACTTAAGTCTGATCCCGTGAACTTTGTATGGCTCAGCGTGCCAAGCACTTAATGGACCTGCAGGATTGGGCCTGACCCCTGCACTCCTCTCTCTCTCTCTCTCTCTCTCTCTGTGTTTCTAGGGTAAACCCCTGCGAGGGATGAACACCCTCTGTTCTGCTCAACAAGAGCCAAAAATGACTGGGGTGCTATTCTGGGAGCTGCGAAGCATGCACGCCGGAGCAGAAGGCAGCCAGCCCCTTGGAGCATCAGCCGTCAGTGCTCAGGTTGGTTGCAATGTCACGATTGAAGCATCTGCCGATAAATGCACGTTCATAATCAGGAGTTTGCTGCGGGTGGGGTGACCACGCATGCTCATGCTGAGCCCCTCTCTCATCCCCCACCCCAGCTGGTTTTACAAGGGGGCTCTGGTGTGGTGCAGCAGCCTACACACAGGGACTCATCTGCAGGATGGGAGGCCTTCACGAAGACAGCATAACGGTGCCAGAAAACTAGAAGAAAAACTTAGAACATGGCAACTTGTATTACCAGTGTGAACAACCAGCATTTTTATTGCATTTGAGAATGCTATAATGTCAGTAATTAGTACTGACTACACAACATTTTTTATTGTCTGTATCAACAGACATGGAATGATGGAATTACAGTGGATGTAAGGAATGAGTTTCTTTTATGCCTTATCAAAAAAAAAAAAAAAAATCTCGTTACTGGCAGCACATACACATGAAGCACCATGCTAACAGTCTGGACTGTACCATTTTCATCAAGGCTTATGGGTAGAAGAGACTTTGTTAACTATTCTGGGCCCATTAAAACGCAGTCATAACTGCCAATTTGACTCTCAAGACTCGAATGCTGAACAATTTCTGAAACATCTAAAAACTTGGTCGGAGGTTCATTAACCAAAGGTACCAAAGGATTTCAAAAGAGTTTCACACATTTTCCATGCGATACGGAATGTAGCTTGTTGGCAATCTGAAAACTACGATAGTTCAAAATTATTTAATTTTTTTTTCTATAGAGATATATATATATCTATATATATATATGCACATATATATAAAAATGGCTAACGATCTGCAATATTTGTAGAATCAGAACCCCTGCCCCATCCTCTCCCCCAAATCTGACCCGAAGAAGAGTGCTGGGAAAGCTGGTGAAATTCTCAGAAGTGTGGATCAAACAAAGGTAACAGATTTTGTGATTCACGGTTTCTACATAAGCCTTGATTTTTTTTTTTTTTTCAGTTCACTTCTAGTCGAATGCCGAAACCTAACAGGTTTTACATTTACAAACTTTTTTTTTTTTGTGGACAAGGAAGGCTTTGACTCTCATTCCTGACAGCGATTTACCTGATACATGGTACTACTTTCATAATGTACGCTTTTCTTTGAGAAAAAAAACATGTAACAAATTGTCTTTACATATTGGCACCTTGTAAAGTTTTTTTTTTTTTTTTATACAAAAGTTCAATAGTTTGACACTCCCCATTATTAATCACTACTTCACTGATAAACTTTGAAAGTGTGACCCTGGAATTCATCATGCAAAATATTTACTGCAGCAGGAGAAAAACAGGTGGGTTTTTTTTTTTTTTAAACAACTTTTTTTTTTTTTCCTTTCAAATATATGAACTTTGTTTAAGACAGCCAGAAAAGGCAGTGGTAAGATAACAGAAGGGGTGGGAAAGTATCAAAAAAACCCAGCTTAAACACAAAAACTGTACAAAAATGCGTCAATCAATGATAACAGGAGAAAAAAAAAATCTGTCAACTATGTTACAATTTAAAGCAAAAAACCAAAAAAAACAAAAAAAAAAAGTCAGGGATTTTCTCCCACATGTCAGCAAATGTCATCCAATATTCTTAAAGCAAGGATAACTAAATAAAATACATGTGCAGCATATTCTGCAATTCCATTACATACAGTAGTTTTTTTTTCAAAGCTATTTTTTTTTTTTAGTATAGTTAATATAAAGCAGTTGCACAAAAAGCAAAAGGTGTTTTGACAAACAGGTATGCATTTATTCCTTTTGAGGAATGATATCTAAAAAAGGACCTTTCCACCTTTTCTTCCCTCCCCCCCGCCCCCAAAAGACAAAGGCTCACACAGACACATTGGGATATATATGTACAACATAATAAACCCCACCCTAAAGAAGCAACTGTATATCCAAAGGGATACAGAATCAGAATTGTAAAAATCATAGTGAAGTTTGCTTGATGTAAAGCCTGAGATTTTCAGTTGGTTCTTCTGCAAGGCTGTGACACCTGCCAGATATGTTAAAATCTAATTTTTTATTTCTTTTTCTTTTTTTTTTCTTTTTTTTGCTACAGTCTTTAGACTAAGCATGCAAGACATACAACTAAGTGCAACTGAGTGAAATGTATTTTTTATTTACTCATTCCCTAACAGTTTGAACTGAGGTATGCGTACTAACAGTTTCTCATGCTGTTATCTTTACTCATGTCTAGCTACACATGCTGAGAATGAACTAATCTACCAGATTTTTATCCCCTTTTTGAATACCGAACTAACCAGCAAACCACTCAGTTTAGAAGCACAGGGATCACTTCTCGTGATCCCCATCTGGCTACCGCCGGCACGTCATGAAGCTGCCTGGATATAATTAAAAAAAAAAAAAAAAAATTTTTAACAGGTCCACAGACCCCCTTTTTTTTTTTTTTTCTTTTTTTTTCTTTTTTTTTTTTTTTTTTTTAAACAGAAAGCAGAGTTGAGCTTTAGAAAAGTAACTGCCAATAATTATTATCTTTTTTGTACCAAAGCTTGAGAGTGGACAGGAGTGTTATTTCCTTATGAAACATGCTGACCGAAACAACTAAACAAAACCGAGCAAATGTGCCAAGATAAACCAAAATTAAAGCTGCCATCCTAGCACAATCCTTAAACAAAAGTGGCATACAATCTGTAAAACCAAAGACCAAAACAAAAATTTGTTTTACTCTAGAAATACTATTATGTGGTCCAGTTAAATTGTGGGAGCTTTTCTGTTCTCTTCTGGATTTTATTAAAACTGTCTCCTTTATTTGATACTCTAATTTTCTGCAAAAGAACCGTATGTGTGCGCGTTTTTTCTCTCCCGCTCCCTTCTCACAGCTCCTCCTGTAACACTGTTTCCTAGGCTGAGTCTCAAAAGCTCTCCTCGATTTCTCGTTACAGAATTTCAGTTTGGTCGCTTTAAAGGAACACGAATAAAAAGTAACAACTTTGGTTCAGTCATCTACTTGGCCTTCTAAATTTACTAGAATAAAGGAGCAGTTTCTCTCTCGGATTAGCAATAGCCCATATCTTGTCATTTCCCTCTAAATTCTTCAACCTCCTTTGATCAACAATAAGAGGATATTTGGCTTCATAAGATAAAGCATATAACAGAGAACATAATTTACCTTTGTGTAATATCTTTGGTAATTTTAGAAAAAAAAAAAGGTACAAAGAAGAATATAAATTAAGCTCTGAAAGGCTTTTTTTTTTTTTGTTGAAATCATAAAAAAAGCTACAGTCCTACATAAATAAATGAGTGACAGAAAAGTGGCTGCAGAATGAAAACGTTTAGGTGTTTGGTGACCAAGGTTTACTGACCTATAACAACAGCTTTTTTGTCTGTAATGTTTGCTTCGTCGAGCACTGCTAGTTTTGCCAAACAAGCCCCAGTCCTAGCTCTTGTCCTATATTCACTGGTTTCTACTATGAGGTTTCGATACTGGCTGGTGTAATATTGCATAACAATCTTAACTGCAGTACAGGATTTGCACAGTTGAAATTAACACTTTAGCATTAGTGGGCTCAGTCCTTATTAACTCCCGTAACAAGTTCAATCTGAAATCTAATTTGTATTCAAACAGATTAATGCCATCGAGCAATCCTGAACTGATGTTGAACTGCGAAACATCACCGCGTACAACAACAGTTTAATGAAGTCATCTTTCCAACCACTATTTGGAAACGCAAAAAAATTTAAAAAACAAAAACCAAAAAAAAAATTAGCATTGTAAATGTATAGGTACCCCCATTTTGGTAATCTTAGATATTCCAGAAAGATTTGTTGGCCCATTAAAACTCATGTTAAACAACTGAGAGCTTGCCACTGTAGTATTCGTTCTCTAATGAAGTGAGTTCTGTTGGTGCTGCATATGTTTCTTTGTGCTGTTCAATTTTGTGGCATTTGCTAATATTCAACGTTGCTGCCAAAAAAAAAAAATATATATATATCAAAAAACTAAAACTGAAACAAAAAATTAAAAAAAATACTGCTTTGTGGAATGAATCTGTGTTGCTTCCTACAGTGTTTCTATGTTCATCTGTCATTCATTCTCATTCTTGCAGTACTTCATTCCCTTCCTCTCTGTTGGACAACCTTTCCACGGACATAGTGCAGCATTTGGGACCTTTTCAGAAAAAGAGACACCAAAATGGAATGTTTTCCATAGCGAAAGAAAACATGGTGGCATCTGAAGGTAACTGGAATGAATGACAGAAAAAACTACAAACAATTCAATGACATTCAGCTTCGTATAATAAAAACACCTATTAACATTCATCACAAAGTACAGAAAACATGAAGCCTCCAAGAGGCTCTGGGCCCACCTGAGCCCTGAGGTCAGAACTTAAAAAGGTAGGGGAGAAGTTTGGAGGGGTGAGGGAGGGTGGGGGGGAGGAATAAAAGCAATACATTAAAACGTTTGGGATAATTTTTTGTTGAACCCCTCCCCAATACACGCGCACGCGCGCACACACACACACACACACACACACGCACGCGGAGGCCTTCCCCATCCCAAATGGAAGCAAAAACAAAAAAACAAAACAAAACAAAACAAAAAAAAAACCAACAAGGAAAGAAAGAAAGAAATGGAGTAAAAGGCAGTGATAATCAACATGCAGTACTGTGCAAATATGTTGTCCATTGGAATCCTTAAAATTTGGGCAAAGGCTTGATCTGCAGTTTAGATGTACATGCTCAGTTTGACGTCCTCAGTGTCCAAAATTGGCAGGACTGCAGTCCAAAGTCTGCTGCTAAATGTGAGGAAGTGAATCAGTTTAGCAAATTGACAACACTGATGTTGACTGTAAGAGAGGAAAATCCCAAGTACCAAACAAGTCCATCCAATGCACAGAGTACAAATTCCTTTTTTCAACAAAAAGTAGAAAAATCAAAAATCCTCCCAAATGGGATACTTGATGGCACTAAGAGTTAACATATTTCATAGTTGTCAAAATGGACTGAGAATCCTCCAGACTGTACAATAATGGAGAGATTTCACAGCTAAATTTGACGTGTTCTTCCAATCTTCATTCTCAGGACAAGGATGTCAGACATACTCATTCTATGTCCTCATTTACAGGTTCATCTTCATAATCTCTGTCGTGATCAAAATCTGGACTGTGATTGGCTGTTGTCACTAAGGATAGCGGACCTTCATTTTCGTCTGGATCTAATGGTTCTTCTTTGACATGCACAGGGTGCCTAGAGAAACAATTAAAAACAGTCCATCAAAAAAAGACAAAAAGACCACGTCGTGCTTTAGCCCTACTGTCATTTGGGGGGGGGATATGTAGGGCCTCTACAAAACGTAGGGACTTTCGGAGCTGCGCCTGACTTCAATGGGGCGAACGGTATGTAGGAAATCGGACTCTCAACTTTTTTTCAGTTTGCTGCTAAAAAGGGGAGGGAGGGGACGGGGAGGGGGGAAGCATCTACCCAAGAACGAGCCTACAATTACTTAGCTTCACTGGGAAAATATCCTGGGAGGAGCACTTACTTATATATGCTTTCTTCGCAGGATTTAGAGAAAATGCTCTCAGCTGACATATTAAGTTGATTAATACAATCTTCAGATAAATAAGTGAAATAAGCATCAGTAAAGCAAAATAGCAGTTTGTCAGCTCACTGAGCTGGTGGAGGCTGGGCTAATCATCGCTTGCTGTGTGTTCTGCTTCTCTAGTTAACATGCAGAACCTGTGAGACAACTCTCCAGAGGACGACCCCAAGTGAGGTTCTATCATTAATCAACTTCAAGCAAACACAGCAAAGAGACACCATGATACATGCTTTAAACTCCAAATTAATGCATATTTTTACAAACTGTCAATAAGGGAAGAAAAGCCCTGCCAGGAAACACAAACGGAGAGGAAAAGGCTCGCTCAACACAACAATATGATAAGAAAGCAGAGTCCTAACGAGAATAATAACACTGTCAGCTGTAAACAAGGCAGAACATGATCCCCGGCTCATGGTGGGCACAAGGATGCACTAAAGAGATGAGATCTGCCAAATTTCTCATTATAGAATAGCACATGAATAACCCGCAGGGGAATGTGGGCTGGTCATTCAAAACGGGTATGATAACAATTGAAAAATGTTGTTCGTAAATCATATTTACAACAAATCCTTTACAAATACAAATTACCTTTTTTTGTTCAGGAGCTTTTGATATGTAAAACAGCCATGTGAGTCAATACTGTCTTGTTGGTGGGACGGTATAGGGAAGTAGGATTTTATTGACATTATCAAGTATTAATAATGCGATGCGGCGATGGAGACCCTGTTTGCTTCCTAAATAATTGATGTGGCAGGCAATCCCTTAAAATAAAGTGTTAATGAGTTCAAGTCCCACTCTGTCTCTTGTTGAGTTGATATCCACCTCCCACAGTCTTGGTTGTTCGCTACCCGGTCTCGTTTAACCCTTTCATGTAAACTACGTAAAGACTTAATCACAAGTGCAAACATTTGTCGCAAATAATTTCTTCTTTGTCTTCCTGAAAATAAGCGATTTAAAGTTAAGTACATGTCACTGTACTTTGGACAGACGGAAAGGGGAGTGGGATTTTGTTTCATGTTTGGGCAGGGGCAGAAAGGAAACGTGTGAAAATTAAGGAGCCCGGTCTCTAAGACGTGAACGCTGGTCACTGACTACCTGGTAAATTCAGCTGTATAGATATGAGCAAGCATAAATGCTGATGCACAAGATAAGTATGTGCTCCCACACAATCCCAGAGGGCAGGAGCAAGGCCGAATAGGAAATTTATGCTCAACCTCAGGCAAAGGGGGTTCACCTCCTATAGGTGAGAACTTTGCAGGGGGAACCACCTACACCTCTCTTTGCAGGGGTACCCTACACATCTGTTTCATTTGAAGACTACATCTGATTTGAAAGCTTCACACTTGCGGATTGCACACGTTTCAAGAAAGAGCTGCAAAGCCTTTTCAGGTTGCTCCACGCTCCAGCTTCTGGAGCTGCGATGTTCTAGGTCAGGTCTGTATAGGGGTATTAGTGGGACCATCCCATCCTATCCCACAAAATAAGAGCAATCTTCTCGTGGAGCAGTACTGAAAACGTGCCCTCTCAACATGTCTCTGGGAGCTCCCGCAACAAGCTAGAGAGATGTGTTACTGTAGCCACACAGCATCAGACTTAGGAAAAGGGTCTTCCTAAAGACAGGCACATACAACCCCCTGCCCAGGCAAAGCATGTCAGAAGGGAGTATGCTTCATGCCATGTCCCAAAACATCAAGACACTCCGGATCTACTGGACTACGGGAGGACCAAATATGCAGTCATGCTTTGATGTGCTTTGCAGAAGAAAGGAGAAAGACGCATCAAGAAGATTCAGAACAAGAGGCCAGGAATTAGCAAAGCACTCAAGCCCCAAAGAAACCTTAAGTCAACAGGACTAATCACAAGCTTAAATTAAGCATATGCTCGGAGACTTTGCTGGCTTGCGGCCTGAGTTGACGTGAAAAGATGCACGTGTTTGTAAACAGAAGTCACTCCTGATCGTGCACTGGACCCGCTTGGACAAACATCTGGAAAGAAAAGGGGATCAGGAGGTGTGTGGGGAGAAGAGAGTAGCTATGTACAGGGAAATGCAGACCCTTTGCATTAATTAAAACATTTTGCTCGTTGTGTTTTAGTTGTTGCTGTTGCTGCTGAAGCTTCTTTATTTGTTTTATGTGAAAAATCAAGGCAGAACAATTTTGGAGACAGAAAACAAGAGAGTCAGATGTTTTATGAACCCAAAAGTCTGTCAAGGGGAAGAGGGATTTCTACTCCAAGCTATGCTATGGTAGTATTCCTCGCATGTCAATGGGCCAGCACATCTAGTCAAGCCTCCCAGAGCTTAGGGCTACATATAAGCAGAGAGAAGAGCTGCCCACAGAAGTGGTTTGCACCGACTACGCCAAACCCACCTGCTTACATGATAAATCTGAAAATCAGTACAGGCTCATTCAAATGCTCTTGAATCTTTCCAAAGCAAATCCTGGCTAGCTTCACGGTTCTGCTCTGAAAGCAGGTGAAACTGGGCGGTTTTGACTGAGTTTCACTTTGAGGTTTGACTTTGTTCCCAGAAGTCAAAAACAAAACACAAGGAGTGGAAAGCCAACTAAATGCAACCCCACGAACAGGGCGGCTTGTGCTCAAATGAGACAAAGCTACAGTGTGCTACAAAAGCTCTTGTAGGGTTCCTCCATTGCAGCTCCAGGTACTTAATTCTGGATCGGTGTCAAAGGAGCGAGTGTCTAGTTTGGAGGAAAGCCTACTCCTCAAATTAGGATGTTGGTCTGGACTATCCAAACCTCAAGTACAAAATTTGCACAGAAAACAAAAATAATCCAGCCCCATGTATGTTATTTTGGTTGCAACAGCAAGCTGGCATGTGAAAAGGAAAGCGTTCTGAATCAGAGATTATACAAACATTTCAGAAGCATTAGCAATGTGCATCTTAAAGAGTGAGAGAGGCTGGGGGGAGATTTTTGTATTTGCCAAACCAATCTGAATTTCCATTTAACATCTCACATAAAGCCTCAAAAACTGGCGAAGGGAAAGGCAGCTACTGAACTCTGCATGGAAGGTAAGTGCTGGACAAAAAAAGATTTTCCCTTTCTTGTTTAGTAGCAGAATTTCAACATGCTCCTTTTAACTGGGTGTCCAGGGCTTCAGAAGGGGTTAACAATAAATAACCTTCCTGGATGCAGAGTTCCCTTCTTTTCACATTTGAGTAATTCTTTTGTTTGTCCACTCTGGGAATAGAGGAGTTTTTAATAAAGCTGACTGTTGTTTAAAGCCACTGTGTTCTGGTGGTGCACACAGCATGGAGTAGTTTGCTTTGTGGCTACCTTTGGAGCATATCAGGATGAAAGTGTTATGTCCCCAAGCTGTAATTATGAGACTACTTTCTAGTGTTTCAAAAGGAGGATAGGGGGAAAAAAAAAAAGTAGCAGTGGTTCAATGTGTCATAAAAAGGAAAGGGATGAATGGTAATAAGACTTCAGCTGAAGTATTATACTCGCTTAGCTGTCATGTTAACGAGGTCCTCTAAACCTTACGATAAAGTTTAAGGCCTAAATTATTCCCATATATTGGAACAGTTGAATAAGAAAAAAAAACCCAACCGCAACAACAATATGCATTATGGCACAGAAGTGGGGTTTGGAGAAGAATAGAAAATGCCATTACAAAGTTTGCCTAATGGAAATAAGAGACTGTCTATGACATCTGGAAATCTGTATTAAGCAAACAGCGCAAATCCTGCTTCGGAGCATTTCAGACTGGAGGACCTGGACGCTGCTACAAGAGCATTACCCTGCCACATTTTTACTTCAACAAATGTAAGGGTTCAGCGGAGAACGCATCGGATCAATTTGGGAATACGAAGACGTGCCCTTTGGGCAGGGGGCTGGACTCGATGATCTTCCGAGGTCCTGTCCAGCCCTGATGTCTATGAAATCTATGAAAACGCACAGAAAATGAACTGTCTGGTGGGCAGTGGAAATGAGGCACCTCTCCCTGGGATTTTTAAAGCGCCGCTCATCTAGGTATTTACGTGTCAAGAGATGACTACTAAGGGTACGGAGAAATGGTCAAATTCAAGCAGGTCAATAGGAATTTCGTGTGTGGAACAGCTGCCTTGGACTTCCATATTAAAGGAAGGGTAAAACCAAAGCTTTCACTTACTTTGGGGGCCCACATTTAGGGGGCCGACAGCAAGTCCCCCACACTGTTCACTCACATTGAAGAGCAGCAAAGGCTGCAGCTATACGTGGCTCTAGGAAACATCCTAGCCTGCTCTGCACTACTAATCCGTCCACTTCGCAGATGACAAACTCTTAGGTGAAGTGAGAAGTACAAGAGCTATACTAGCTCTGAACCTAACAAAAAATAAATTACCTGGATTAACGCAACGCTACAAATGCTTCTCCGTGCAAATCAGCCCAGGAGAAACCCTCGAGATAAGTCTTGTTCCCACCACCCTCTTCTCCTCTGCTCAAGTCCTGCATGGTCCTGGGCAGAGCATAACAAATGAGGACTGAAACCGCCTCAAGATGGATCCGTTTGTGGTGGCGCTAGAAGTATGTCACGTAATGCTACTTTGGGAGAAAGATAATTAATCCTGCACAAACAATCACTGCAAAAGCTAAACACATTACTTGAATGTTTTGAAGTAAATGGTAAAAGACAATGTTCCAATTAATTATTAATTAAAAATGAATGTTGCCATCTTTAAAGATTTTTTTTCAAAGCACATTGTGCACTGATTTAAAATGCTGGAATATCAAAGTACCCAGAGCTTTAGATTCCTGCCACCCTCCCCACCCTCCCGACACACATTATGCAGGTGGGAAACTTTTTTTGCCATTAAATGCTAATTAGTTTCACAACTAATTACTATAGTGGTAGTAGGTTAATGTTTTCTTACTTTTTGATTTAGACCTACTTTTGTAAATCTCTTATTCAAATTACTTTGAAGTTAAAGGCTACAAATTAGTCCTTTTTTTTTTGTTAAATGTGTAATGTGAGCTTTGGTAACTCGGCCAATAATTGTACAGTCCATTTTAATGAACAGCCAGATGAAACACAGCCCTGCTCTTGCGTGCGTCCATTCGCACAGGTAGCCAACTTTACCAGATAGACCAGTTCCTAAAATTTGAGAACTACAAGTCTTATAAACTTGGGCTTCCTTTTCAGCTGCCAATGATCTGGTATGTAATTTTGGGGGGAATGGGGGATTTATGGCTTTACAAATTCACTCCGTCACCCCATAAATACTGAACACACCCATTGGGACATCCCACCCTTCCTGACTTACCCTTTCCTGTGCTAGCACGCTGCCCTACTGCCATTCACATTTCACATGGACAGCAATCTCCCATTACTTCATGCGGTTATATATGCACTCATTATACTGCCGTCTGTTGCTATAATGCTCCTATTAATTTTCCTTTTGATATTTTAAGAGCAATCTATAAATCATGCAGACCTTCACGTGCGCCATCATTAATGCCAAGCAATGCTGTTGTGTGCCGAATATTTTTTTAACCCAGCTAAACAAGCCCATTTCTCCCAGTGCTACCCCCGACAAGCTTCTTTATTGCATGGACTAAAGCAGAAGGGAACAAAAACTTCACAGAGAAACGCGGTCACCTCAGAGCATCTCAGTAACCCCGTGGTCTGGGATGTAAAGAAGAGAACGGCAAACAAGTTCACAATTTTATAGCTGTGTGCACTTGTCGGACTGGATTGAGCTGATTGCTTTTATGTGAAAGTTGGTAAATGGTTCTTTTATGCTCTATTCACCTAAACGTTTTCAGAAACGGAGACTTTTACCGTTGCTGTTTGGAACTGGGAATTCAGAAACAGTCGACAAAGAATCTCTAAGTTACATTTCAGCAGCCGTACGGCAACATCTCAACAAAGACATTCGCGTTTGCTGTACTTACATAGCTTGCATAGGGGAACGTCCTGGACTACTGTCACTCCCATTACTGTTCGTATGCTCCATTGCACCATTAAGCTCTTCCTTCATAGCAATGGCTAAATTGCCCAGAGCAGGATTTCCCATGGAAGCAGTAGTGTATAGAGGTATACTATTCTCAGCCATTGAAGCCTGCCAAGGACACAATAAAACAGTATGAAGACGCATGGCTTACATTTTTATACATGGCACGACACAGTTATTCCAAACCTCCTTTTTCCTCATTTACATGACTTGCAATTACTGATTTAAAAAAAAATACTGCATTTTCTGATAGGCAGTACACCGATTCCACCAAGGGAAATTTCACACAATTTGCATCCGGATTTATACATTCATAGAGGTGCTGGCTATTGGCTCGTGAGAGAGGGCTGAACCTCTTGTTCCCCGTTTGGAGATTGCCCCTCTCGGAGAAAAGAAAGTCTGCCTGTTCCATTTCCTGATGAAAAAATCATTTTTTAATAAAAGGAATTGGTTAATCAGGAAAAGGTGAGAGAGAACTTGCTCAGCAGAGGATTGCACTGCCAGCAGAGTGAAAAGGGACACCTTAACGGCAAGGTGTTATGGGCCTTATCAACGCACATTCCCCATTGAAGCCAATGGGGTTAACACGTGTTTGCACCGGTGTAACTGAGAATTGAATTTGTCTCCATGAAGCTTTCTGTAGCGCTTTTGCATTAGTGAGAGATTCCCTTGTATTTTACACATCATGGTGAATTTGGGCAGAGTTTTCAATTTTTAACCCTCTGCAATAACCCTGGTATTATCTTAGGCATTATAGATTTAATAATGCCAATAAGACTGCCCCTGCTTCTGTTTCTGGTATGATCTATACAGCATGCTGCACTTGTCTTTCTAAACAGGGGTCTTTGTAGACAAGAAATGAATTGTTGAGCATCATCTTCCCTTTTCCTCAATTCCTGGTTGCTGGCATAGATTAAGTGTCAGTGTGGGCTCATTTGGATGGGGACTGTCTACCATCAGCTAAAGTGTCTTTTGGACCAGCACTAGCCCAATCAGGTGGTTATGGGAACACAAATATGTCTTTTCAACTTTCAAAGCCAATAACCCAACCAAAAAAAAAAGGCTGCTATTCAAGGACAACTGTGGACTGGAAGGACAACCACCAGCTCTGAGCACAGTCTATTCAGACCTGTCTTGTTCTCTCCCCAAGCTGATCTCTTTAAATACTGCCCCATTTTTAAGAAAACAGTCTATTTTAACTTTTTGATTCTGCAAACAGGAAACAGCATTTGATCAGGGGAGCATCAAGATTGCCTTGTACATCTTGCACTTTGCAAAATGAGCCAAGTTCTTTCCCCGTTGAAATAACCTGTCATTGCCACCAGGAATTTATTTGGAAAGAGGTGAAGCAGAAGCAGCACTTGCTGCGTTTTTAGGGGGGTAGGGGGGTTAGCAAACCACAGCATGGTGAACAGCCCTGTTCTCAGCAAGGAAGGACTTGTGACTCAAAGGCTTGGATAAGGAATATTTCCTGCAAAGACCAATAGCTGTTTGAACCATTTTAAGGTCACGAGGCTCAGGCTGGGAGCCTTGCAAGCTCGGACTCTCAGTAGATGTCCAGCATTTATGATTTCTGTGCAGGCCTGGAAAGGAGATTCTTGTGCTTGGTGTTTTGCTCAAAGTGTAAAGAGCAGCGGCACATCAACATCCCAGAACAACCCTGCAATGCTAGCTGACCTGCTCAGAGTTGCACACTAGAAGAACGATGACTTTAAATGATGGGAGAAGGCTCAAGTCAGCCTTATATTTTATCTTTGGAAAGGCCCACGCAGGGGAGATTTAGGTGTGCAGCAAACAGCCCAGGTCTTACTAGCAGCATGCCAGCTCTCATTTCACAGGACAGCTGCACCTACCCTCAGTGCCTCATACCTTGCTCTATAAAACTGTGCAAAAACCTCTCTACTCTCCACCAGGTCTGCAGGGGGAGACCACGGAGGTGTCTGCAGGTAGCACTGCCAGGCCTAGGAAAAGAAAGGCCCTGTCCCACCTGTGAGTGCATGCAACAGATGGACCTTTACATATCGCACGGGACATGCCTCCAAAAACCACGTGGGTGTTTTTGATAATCGTTGGCCATTTAGCTGAGCATGCCCATTGACAGGTAAAACTGAATCATACCATGATAAGAAGCTTATTATACAAACCAGGTCATTTCAAATGTGTTATGCATCCAACAGCATTTTATGCCATTTTCTCTCTCTCTATTTTGCAAATTCTCGGAGCCCTTCCATGGCACACAGTATGTATCGCTATTTTTGCAGAAGAAAATGGGAAACTATTTTTTTTTTTTTGCTACTTGTCCTAAACTGCAAGAGAACAGCGGGGATAAAGGACTCTGCTAGCATATTTTGCTCCCAAAAGGACATTTTATTTAATTAACGCAACAGAAGGTTATCTCAGGCCTGTGTTTATTAGAGAAATTCAAAAGCCTCAGTAAAATCTGCCCAGAATCTCTCCTCAATCAAGTTAGTTTATCTAGTGTCACTTTAGGGCACAAACATGCTACTCTCTTGAAAAAACTGGAAACTGAAAACAGTTTTGAGGTTATTACAAAACGCAAGAATGGATGGAGATGACGACAACAACACATGTTTTAGAAATAAAACACGAACAGTTCTGTACGATAAGCATATTAATTGAAATTAGTCACATAGTTAACAGAATCTGAAGGAATGCAGGATCATTTCAGTTTTGCCTTTCAGCCTCCAGAATGTAAAATGTGCTTGTAATCTTAATACCATTCAAGAGACAAAGCAGTCTTTAAAAAAAAATCACACTTCAGAAGACTCAAGGGAAAATAAGTGACTAATGAATGGTATTTACAGTTGCTTCATTTAAACATGCTTTCATTTGCTTTTCAGAAGTTACCGCATAAACTGAAATAATTAGGAGAAATGCAGAATGTCACTTCTTTCCTATTAATCTGTTTCTTGGTTTAAAAAAATTGCTTAAATTGCAAGTCTAGTAAATCTTCCACAAAATTTAATTGCCCAAACAATACCGTTAATCCACTGCACAGAGTTTAACCTTCAATTAACTTCTTGGGAAGGACCTCTCTAAATGTTTGGGGCTCAGTCGTGCACAGTTGTTGCCTACCTTGCAGAAATTAGCTATTGCATGTGTGGATCTTGTGGCAAGATTAAGGCCTTTGAAGTGATTAGGAAACAGTATGGAACAGGTGTGAAAACACATAGTGATTAATAGACAAAATCTAAAAAAAAATGCATGTATGTCATTGGTCCTTATGGTGAACTCTGATTTCACTAGGGCCTGTTGAGACACTCAAATAATTGTTACCGGGACCATGTCTTAGATGCCCACACAGACATGAATGCTGTGCATATACATTTATCTGTATATGCATTGTACATGTTTTTCTGCCATGTGAAGTATCTAAACAAGTCTTGCAATTGTTGCACGCTGTAAATACAACACATCTGCCTTCCTCTCCTCCTTTATTTAGCAAACTAACATTTGTTATTTAACAATAATAGAAACACATGCAAAAATAGTCCTTAAAAGAAAGAGGGAAATGATCTGCTTTCTCTTTAAAGCCATGAACAATAGAAGGTCATGTGACACAGTATCCTATCATTCAGCACATTAATAGCTGTGCTAGAGTAATTACACTTGTGGTATTTTTGCCTCAAGTGAAATTCTGAAATAAGAGGATGGAAATTATGATACTGCTGATAAATATTAATAAGTGAACTTTTAATTTTTTTGCCACAATATTCAAAATGCTAAGCATCTAGCTAATGCTGAAGCAGCCTGATATGTGTTTGCCTCCAGGGACTATGATGCTTTATGCACTTAAGAAAAAAGTTTAACGGAATTAAAATTTAATATCTAATTAGAGCAAGGCTAATATATTTTGAAATGAGTGGGGAAGACACACGCCTCTGTTGCATATTTGCTACAATCATTAATCTTACCTGTAAAGCAGCATTGAGAGGTGAGCAGTAGGTGTGGCTGGTCTGTATGTTTTTAATAAGAGAAGGGTTACTGCATAAGAAAAACATAAAAAGGAGAGTTAAATGCAACCGTCTCGTCTCAGCGGTGTTTCAAGCATGTCAAAGTTTTTTGTTCCCCCACACCTGAAAAATGACAGGTTGGATTGTTTTCCACAAAAACTCTCCTTTACTTCCTCAAAACTTTCATGTTTTAGTAGTGGGGCTGCCATATATGCCTTTATTAAATATGGAACCCCATTATTTACAGCTCCTGAAGTTAGCGTCTTGTTTTAAATATTACCTGTTGGCATCTGGTCTCTTTTTAGCTGCACTCAATAGTAGCCAACACTCTTCCTGTCCGAAAGCCAATCGCTACACAAAGGTGCACTCTCAGGAGATCATCATTAAAAGCATTATGGGAAATTTTGAATGCTATGTAAGGGGCATGACGTAGTAGCTGGCAGCGGAGCCAGGTATACCTATCCCAGAGGACTATGATTAAGAAGGGACTCCAGAATCCTTCCTGCCTGACTCGCAGTAGTCCCTGACGCACATCTCCGACATTTGGGCGACTGGCGAGGCTACCTCTCCAAGCAGTCTTGCTGGGCTGCGGAGAGGTAATACGGCCGCTGTCGTGTTACCGCAATGAAGCGGTTAGGAACATTAAAAGACCCTGTTCCATAAAACACACCCCACCGTGACATTTTGGATTGCTGCTTTAGACTACCGCAGCTCATCTGTGGTCGTTTTGCAGGAGGGGCCTAATTCGGATAAAATGCTAAGCATCTGCCCTGTGTCAAGGCAGGCCCCCCCAAAAAATCACTTGCCCCATTTGAAAAAAATCTTAATCGAGTACAAGTCAGGGGAGAAAGACTATGGAAAGCAACCTTCCCAAGGGCCGTTTTGTTTGTGCTTCGAAACAGAACGGAAAAACGGCCCGGCGGAGCGCTCTTCACACCAACGCCAGCGTGGGGCTCGGGAGATGTGGTCTTCAACTAAAGGGCAAACCAAATTGCCTGGGGAAGCTCAGGAATATTTTAAATAGGATGTTTTACAGAGAGGTTAGCTTAATGCTTATATTCTTTACCGTCGATGTCCCTGTACCTTTTTTTTGTCATTTTCAAAATGTTTCCGGATATCTCAGTTATTTTATTTTTCTGAGTAACCACTCCTTTTCTTTTCTTTTTCTGAGTAACCACTCCTATTCCTAAGCTTGGAGCTGTGAAACTAACTGATAGCATCAACGTGAAGCTTGCTTAAAAACCGATCTTGACATGATATTTGATCTAGAAGAGATACATTTTTGGTCTACGCTGCGTCATAAACATTAAAACAAACACGGCAAAGAAGCATTATCATAGACATTTCTATTATTAGAGCGGGAACAAGCGAAATACGTGGAACAACCACAAAATTTAGTTTCTTTAGCAGCCAAGGTGATGTCACTATTTTGTGAAATGCAAGTCTACATGAGATGGGTAAATCATGCAAAGCAAAGCAACAGCAGAAAAAAAAAATAAAAGCAAGTAAAAGCTCTTACTGTGCAACAAGCTCGCCAAAGTTTTCATCAGGGCAGTATTTTCGAGGACGGCCTCGTTGAATATGACGGCCTCGTTTAAACTCTTCATCATCAACAGTCCAAAAGGACCCAAACTCATCCTCTACTCTGATAAAGCACTTATGCAGTGAGAGGTTGGTGCGAATGGCACCCTGGGACAAGAGCAGCAGCAAAGGAGATGAAGTGGAAACAAAGGGACACGGGATTGGGGACAGAACAGACATCAAATACAGGGAAAAGGAAAAAGAAAATAAAATGCAATAAGCATAAGCAAATGGTTTGTGAGGGTTAATATGCATTGCCACCTAAAAGCTACTAGCATGTGATGCAACAAACACCAAGCAAGCAGGGTCAAGGGTACTGGTGGGCACACAAACAGTAGTGATGAGATGCTTTTCTTTGTTTCCCTTAACTGAAACAATGTGAAACCACCTGTGTTGGGCTAACACCATCTAGCAGCCAAAAGCCTCTATGTTAAACTGTAAGCATGATCCAAGCTAGGCTAAGAAGTTCAAACATGGTGGACATACCCACTGATCTTTTGTGGCCTTCGTTTTTGGAACTCTGCTTCATCCACTGTCCATACTGCCCCTTTAACATTTTCTACTCGCACAAAACACTTGTGAAGACTAAGATTATGACGCACTGCATTCTGCAGCAAGTATAAAAGAAAAAACATTCAAAAAACTTTCTGAGAAAATACTCAGCATCGTCCAAGAACAGCAGCACAGTCAGCTTGACAGTCCTTATTTTGCAATGTTAACTCAGTTCGCCCCTTGCCCTGACCCTCCCCTGCCCGACGGACCCCGGCTTTTACATCTTATTTTGCAAAGATTAAAAATAAAAATCTCCAAACTGAGATTAGGCATTCAAGTTATTGTATCAATTATCCACGGTGGGAATGGGAACAGCCATTGGTTTACGTATGCACATCACGTAACAGCACATTTCATGCGAGTTAGAGAGGAACATTGCCGAGATAGTTGCAAAACCAGTATACAGTTCGTAACAGAAACTTATCCTCTCCTGGAAGAGAAAACAGTTTAAAAGAGCAGAGAAGGAGTTTTGTGTGAGTACAGAGGGCTCGATTTAACAGGGGCATTGGAGCTGGAGTTTCTCTTGTGCCCCACAACTGGGCCATGTGAATCAGGCGTGGAAACCTCTTTTCGGATGAAGCACGTGGACTAGGGGCTCAGAGGTTTAGCAGCAGCACCCCGCCGATCACAGTGCACCAAGTCGTGTCTTCCACTGCATGCTCATATATGGAAGTTGGCTCTCATTTCTGGCAGGCAGCAGGACTGCCTGAACTGAGCCTCTGCCAAGTAAACACATGAGGAGGGCTCTCGGAAACAAAGTGATAATATCCCCATAGCTGATCCCTCGTGGAGAGACCGGCTTCTTTCTCATGGTTGTTAGTCCCCTTTTATTAGGCAATTTCAAGTTTCTAATGATCACACCCAGTGTTGTGCGACCTAATTCGGTCCTTGTGACGGATGGACCCAGACAACCACTCCGATACGCGTGCACCTTTGCTTCGGTCTGACGTAGCGAGATGCTGGTCCAGCAAGAACAACAGAAGCTGTTTCTCCTGTTTTCACTCTACCTGAAAAATCATGCTATTAGACAGCATGTGCTGTAAATCTTCCACGTTTTACCAGTTTTCTGAGCAAATAAGCAATTGCAAAACTACTTGGATTTGGAAATGAAACTTATCCTCTGGTGCCACTGAAAAGGCCCTGGTAACTAGGGGAAGGAGAATGGCTATTTGCTGGAAGTATGCAGGGGAACAAACTGCATCCATCATCGTTGGCACCACTGATCTAGTCAATCTGGTTGACTCGTTAGCAGGCACAATGCCAGCTAGACACATGGCCCTGGGTCTTGGCACCAAGAGACTAAATACTTTTGTGTGCGTGCATGTGTGTACATCAAGGCTGGATGGTGAAAGGAGCTCTAATCATGAATGTCTAAATCACTGTGCAAACAAAGGTTATGCACAGTGCATTTGTCATGGAAATTAGGAGGCAGTGATGTGTGCGCATCTATGAGGGAAGGGCTGGGAGCCTTTTGATACCCTGCAGTTTCTCTATGTAGCCATCCCCTCTCCCACTGTCACCCATCCAAGCTCCTAGGAGGAAACGACTCGGTGAAGGAGTATTCTGTAGCTTTTTGTATGTGATCCAGCGCATATGGGGGCTGTCGCATTTCTGCTGAATTATGAGCCATACACTTCTTACGCTTCCCCACCTCGTAGCCATACTGATCTGCTCATGATCTGGTGGGGAAAATAAAGACTGGAAAACTTCTTCCTCTTAAGGCAGGGAGGGGAAGGTTATTTTGCACGCTCCACGTTTCAGTGTACTTGGCAAAATGGCAATTTCTGACAAGGAAAATATATGGCAATGCACAGTTTCACAGTGACAGGAATAGGGTCGAGTCCATCTGCGCTCCAAAGGCCCCCGATTCTGTCTTTTGGACCAGTCAGCACAGAGTCCTGCTGAGAGGGGCAGGGGTCCTCCTTGCTAGGGAAACCAGGCGCAGAACAGGGTCTCCATGTGCATGAAGCAGGCAAAGCTTCCTGGGAAAACGGGCACAGTTTCACGTGTGTAACAGAACATGCAACAGAAGAGTTGGGGTCAGTCCTGCCATGTGCTACAGATATTTCCCACAGTGAAGCTGATCCTGCAGCCTCACTAAGCCATTGACCCAATGCATACAGGGACAGTCCGAAAAGTGGTTCTTTTGATTTGTTAACTGTCTCTTTATACGTAGTTGAAGAGAATTATTTACATCGTCCTTTCTATATGTGTAATGCTGGATAAATCATTTATGCCCAGATCCTGCTCTAGGGAAGCCAGTGACAGTCTTTGGCTATATGCGGATCTGGGCCTTACTGAATATACAGACAAGTTAAATATTTGTAAGTCCTTAGAGAGATGCTTTAGCCTCCCCCGTTTACATGATATTGCTTAGTGAATGTATAAAGGACACTTGGTTCTTCTGCTCCAGGATTCTTGCTAGCTAACAGTTTCATTTGAACAATACCCCAAACATTTCTGAGCCACGCCTGCAGCCTCTACCTCCTGGCTGCAATTCAGTTTTGGCAAATTATGGGGGGAAGGAAGGAAAAAAAAAAAAGAGAGAGAGAGAGAGAGAAAGAGAGACACTGCCTCTGACCTGTCAGAACCAGTTCAAAACGCTCCTCTAGCAATCTGCTTAACAGAAAAATTAGGAGCTATTATTGTAAGATTATATATTTACCCTGTTAAAAATAATTGTATGCAAGCCACTTTTTCAGAAAAATTACCCTGCATAAGCTTGAATGTGCTAAATGAAAGGGTTTGTTATTTTAATCGCTGCTCCGTCTTTGCCATGCTGCACACCCAGGGAAAGTGGTTCATCTGAAAAGGTGTTTCTTCCTCTTTCTTTTTGGAAGGTGTCTCCAGGATCCTCACCCAGGCACAGCCACAATCCCAGCTCGGGTGACCTCTATGCATTTACTGAAGATGACCCCAGAGTCTGCAATCAGCCCCTTGAGCTGGAGCAGACCCCACAGGCTTCCTGGCATGGTGGTCCCGGGCTGCGTTTTTAGCCCCTAGCACAAATCAGAGCAGCTTGCAGAATGAAAGCCCCAAAGTGCTTCAAGCAGACATCTGTTTTTAAGAGCAATGGAGCCCAATGACTGGACTACATACCCATGTAGCTACCAGGTGTAGGGTCCTACATTGTCTTCCAGCTCTTACGAAGCCATGGAGGGGATCAGAATTTTTCACATGTTCTATTGAAGTTTTTCTCCCCTTTTAGGGCACGCACTGATCCTCTGCACAGCATCGGGGGACCCACTGGTGCCTTTGGGAGGATAAAAGGCTACCTGCAGTTGCTCCGTATTTGTCAGAGCCTCCTGTGAAAACTCTCTTTGCCCTTTTGCTATTGACACTCCCTTGTCCCCAGGTACAAGCTTGTGGCAAGTATGACCGAAACCAAGTGGCTCCTGCCACCAGCTAAAGCCCATTCTAATATGATGCACTAAATTGATTCCCATAGATTGAGCAGGGAAATGTCTGACTGGGGGCTGTCCCGCTGCCAGCTAACGCAGGGCTCGGTGAAAAAGAAGTCTAACTGAAGTACCCACACCTGCAGATGCTAAAGAGCCCATTGATGCCAATCCAGTAGCCACTGACTGGCACATGCCCTATGGAGCTGCCACAGCCACAGGCGGTAAGGAGCACTGGAGGCATGTGCCAGGATGAGTCCGGCTAGTACAGACAGCTGGGAAGCAGAGCCTTCCTGAAGGAGCTTGGACACAGGGTGCGTCTACACAAGATGCTAACTGTGCAGTAGCCTAATAACACTGTGCAGTAGCGTGCTAGGCAAAAACCGTGCTAATATGCTACTGTGCAGTAGTATTAGGCTACTGCACAGTAAGCGTCACCAAAAACCCATATGCTGGCGCTACTGTGCAGTAGCGCGAGTTACCGCGCACTGATTTAGTACTTGGTTAACCAAGTACTAAACTTAATGCGCCATAACTATGGCACATTAATGAACGTGTAGACGCACCCACGGACAGCTTCTTTGGTAGAAATAACCTGAGGAGGGAGTTCTGCATCCATACAAACAATGACAAGCGTGTGCAAATTACCAACTTGAGCCGGAAACTGGGAGCAAATTGGTTCTCTGATTTTGAAGAAAAAGGCAGGCTTCAAACACATCCTGAATCGCAACTCTTTTCTACAACAATACTTTCAAAACGCCCTTGAAAAGAACTTTAAGTCAGGAAAAGTTCATTTCCTTTTTGAATACTTAGGAAGTTGAAGATGAAACGCTGCTCAAGTTTTCCAAGCAAGGTCTGGAAATCAAAGCAGCAACCTCCAAGAGTTTTCCCAGGTGTGGGCACCTGAAGTCAGGGCGCTGGGGTTGAAATGCACAAAACCGCCCCCGGGGAGCAGAATAAAAAGCAGTGAAACGCTGAGAAGCAAAAGCACAAAACGGGCACAACAAACATCCCAGCGAACCGCTGAAGGAGAGGACCTCTCTGACTCCGGCCCTTGAAGAAACTGTCCTGCGGTTTCAAGGCAGAGGAAGAGGAGATGATGAAACAGCAGGTACAGAGGACATTCATCCCCTGATACAGGGGGCGGTTTGTTCAAGAACAATTGGGTTTCCTGAGACCAAGAGGTATTATTTTGACTGCAGCGTAAGATCCTTTTATTTGGTTCATCCACTAGTAATTATACTAGCTTATACACAGACGTTGCTATGATAGCCGTTAATTCAAAGGGAAGAGGAGGCCCTAACTAAAATAAAGCAAAAGCTGCATTTAATAGAACAAAAGAACCTCATCGCGCGGTTTCAAACATCAAATATTTTGTTTCTAGGATGTGTTCGATTCCGTATTTTTTCTTGCCTGGCTTGTTTGGCACCGTGCTGACTTATATTCTGGGTCATAAGAAACTGGTGAAGGTTGGGTCATGTTGGTAGGTGAATTTTGCTGGGTATCAGTTGATTGAGCAACAACCTGTCTTTAGACCCCTGGGCGGGGGAAAAAGTGGTTGTTGTGGTTAAACAGCCAGAGGAATGAAAACTGTGCACACCTTGGAAGACCTACAGTTTGTCGTCTTCTGAGAAAATATATTTACCTTAATTTCTGTAAGTGCTAGCTGAAAAGCTTGAGTTCGTGTTAGGAGCAACCAAACAGAGGAACTGGTGGCCATAATGAAGATTCAGGTCGTGGTTTTTCAAAGGCAGAAGTTTTTCCTCTGCCATATCTCAAGATTTTTTTTGCAGTGGAGACTTTCTGCATGTGAAATCTGCAGATCTACATTTCAATGCCGTAGCCATTTGTTAATGGCATCGGCAATCTCTATTCTGTACAGGTCAACTCTCAAAGGCAATGGTAAAAAGGCTTACCTTCCATGTCGCCGCGTTGCGTCTGAAGTAAGCAAACATTCGCGTGAACCAGTTGTAGATCTCGTTTAGTGTTAGTTGCTTTTCCGGAGATTCGAGGATGGCCTTGTGAAGCAAATAAAGGCGCAGTGAGTTGTGACCAAACCAGGAGAACACATACTCACATTTTTACTTAACCAAGTGAAAAAAAAAAAAAAAAAGAGAGAGAGATTTGGAGCAAAAATCCAAAGAAAGGTTTCACAATATGATCTAAGATTAATGGCTGTATTTAACAGTTCAATAGCAAAATTCAAAATGGAATTATCTAATTGTTTTGAGTTTTTATTTCTGTTTCCTTACAGAAATATTAATTTATTAGTCATTCATAAAGCAGAATCAAAGAGAAATGCAAAACATTTCAGTAGCTGATTAAAGCTCAGTAATTATTTAGAGCTCAGATTAATTCTAGGGATCAGAGATTACTGTAGCTTGTGATAATTGACTTGCCATCTTTAAACAGGCTCATTTTCACTGTTGTGTGAAATGAATTTCCTAATAATCACATCGTATTGTAATACTTAATCAAAAGCAATTATGTTATATATTGCAGTTCTAAAAACCCTTATAGTAAAGGTTTGAGCATGCTTGCATACTAAAGGGTTTTAAATCTATTTAATCTATAGTATGCATGCAGATAGACATTTTTTTTTCTTTTTTATCAAAATGTGGTCATGAGGATCAATTGATTACCTGCCGAATTAAAGATGCATATGTGAATGGTGGTCTCACTTCTGCGTTCTTATAAAACTCTTGGTTCTGGGCAATATCTGCTAAATAAGAGCAGGTGTTCTGTTAACATCACAGTCTCCAATTCCTTTGCAATTTGTAGAAGGAACAACAAAAAAATAAAAATAAAAATCAGAGGGCCCTTGCCCTTACCAGCCATTTACCTGAAGAAATGGGCACATTGTATTTATCAGAGTACCGCCTCCTGATAGGTCCAACGTTGTGCATGCTGGTGGGAGTGATGACAGAAGGTCCCTGGGTGACAGGAGTGATGGGGGTAGTTGGGGTGGTCGGAGTATGAGGTAAGCTCTGCGGAGACGCCTCAGATGCAGTCTTTGAAAGCGTGACGCTTGACACCAGATTCAGCTATTGCAAGAGGAAAACGAGGGAGACTTCCTTAGAAATCACAATTCTTGCAAATGAAGCAATCTGAAAACAGGTTGCACGATTTCAACTATATCATTTGGTTTAACACAGAGAGCGGAGCTTGTATACTTGTTTCGGCTTCTGTGGCTCGAACGCTTGCTTTCGCTTTAAATGCTGCTGTAACATCTCCATTACGATCCACTAGGATGAAAATGTAATTGTCTAGATTATTTTTTTTTTTAAACGTAATTGCAGCAACCATAAATACTGGCAGTCAGGACTTCAGAGAGTGGATTTTTATCTAAATCTTAAACCCAGACCTCACAGTATATAATCATTTTAATAATTTATTTTCGTTCCATTGTTCACAATCTAAAACCCACGCATCTCTTATTTTCACGTTATCATTGTGCACGGCTTCTAATCAATCTTCTTGGACACTTAGTTGAAGGCTTAAAATAAAGACAACATTTTGTTAGAAGTACAGTACAAAGAAATGGGATATCACTACGGCGTTTGAGAATTTCCTGTTCCTCCATTTTAAAAGCAGAGCCTGGAACAGGTTAACTCCAGAATAATTTAATTAATCGCACTACCTGAAATACTGTGACCATTAAGCCCAGAAAAAATGACACGGGTTTTTCCTCTCCTTGGTGTGGACTGCACTAGTGCTACCTGCAGAAACCTAAAAGCATGCAACAACCTGACAGCTAGTCATAAGACGACTGCCTCAAGAACTGAAAACCATATGCAACTGTTTTTAGCATGTACCTCTATGTGTTTTATCAGTGCCCATCTATATAATTTGACCCTTTCCCAGTTGCCCAAGGACCCCTTTGGAAGCAAGATGGGCTGCTCCTGGAGAAACGTTTTAAACAATCAATACAATACCAAACAACTCCATCAGAAATGGGGGTGGGAAAGCCTCTGATTATTTTCCCATTTCTCTCCTTGAGCCTTTATTGTGAACAATATTGCTGTCAACAGGAGAATTTAATCAGGCCGGGATTCCCCCACTTTTCTTCACAATTACCATTTTTCTTTGCCTGATGTCAAAAATGGAGGTGAGGTGCACCAGTCAGACATTCCCCAGCCCATCCGATGCTTGCCCACAATGCTCCTTATTAACGTTTGGGTTTGAAAGAAAACAGGTAAGATCCCTCGCATTAATATCATTAAAAAAAACGGAATTTATCCAAAACAAAGTAGGAAAAAATGCTTTTCACGTTCCAGCGTGAGTATCAACGCAGTAACCCAGTCACCCATAAACAGTGCACAACTGCATGGCAGATAAATTGGTCCTGTTTTTCCCTTTTGAATGTGAACTAGGAAGAGCTCAAGAGTATAAAGCAGTGAAGTGTCGGGGAGATGGAACGGTGTCCACTGCCAGCTCAAGTACTGCTTTGAAGAAATTACTTTATGAAAAGCAGACCTGCAAATACAGCCCTCTTTGTGCAGGTGCACGCAAGCTAGAAGGTCTCTCCTTACAATGGAAAACATTTAACACTTCAAGGCAATACAGAATTGCACGAGCCCAGCGGGGTGAAGGAGACCATGAAAGGCAATAAGATACAGGCCTGAGTTTCCTGCAAAAACCCTGCAATGAAGCGAACCAACAAATGCAGCCTAAGGTTTACATGCCAATGATGTGTTCGCCTCCTTGTTGACGTGCTTCAGGTTTTTTAAATATTGCTTACACAATTAATAAATGTTATGGCCATTGGAACGGAGTCCATTTGTTGACTGGTTCAATTTAAGAGCGCTGATTAGGAATACACACAGTTACGTCCTCCTGTTATCCATCTATCCATCTATTACGTATGATAAAAGGAGCAATAACGATAATAATGGTACAACTGACAGGTCTCACCATGAAATTAAATCTACTGTATTTTATCTCCGCTTCTAAATGGACATTTTACCAGTCCAATAACTGCAAGCAAATCTGCATCAATTTTAAGTGCCCATCTCCAGCACAAGCTCAGTAGATATTCGCTCCCGTTGGAAAGATCACTGATAGCGTTTCATCATTACGGCTCAAACTACTCCACTTCAAAGGAGTTAAGATTTTTCTTCTTCTTTTCTGACTGTTTAAAAACTTAACATTTAATCTGCTTCTACTAGAAAACTGCAAAAAGAATCGGGAAAGGTCAACGTTCTCTGCTTAAAGGATTTGAATGGAGTTAAATTTCTTTAGGCTTTTCAGCATAGGTAGCAACTAGAAATAAACACAGAAAGGGAGGAAGAGCAAAGAGGGGGGCTTTAACAGGCTTGACAAATGACACTGTGATTCACACCCACTGCTGGGCTGCCACTAATAAGCTACAGAGGAAGCAGCCAATCTCAGCTAATTACCAGATAAAATTGTATTGTAAGGACTCTAATTAGGAGATGCTTATGGAGGTGATCTAATGATTAAACGCTGCATTCGAATGACCCCACCATCAATGTGCGGTGGTGCAAGATGTCACTGGAATATTTTGTAGAAACAGTAATTTTATTTCAAGGAGGGGAGGCAGTAATATTTGTAATAATGGCTATGAGGTAAACTAATTAAAAGACGGTTCCTAAAGGAAGACTGTGGCTTTGAGCAGCTGTGGCCGTTCCAAAACAAAGTGCCAAATCTCAACAGAGGAGCTGCAGTCAAGTGGAAAATTTCTGCCTGACCTCTGCTCTTGCTATTAATTTGCAGGAAAACTAATGACACATATACATATTCCCACAAAATTGTTCTAATTGCTAATTTGCCAAAGGAGCCCAGTTTCCAAATTAAACATGACTGCAGTCTGCGAGGAGAGAAAGAACAAAAAGCTGGAACACTGTGAGTATAGTGTGTTTCACCTCCGACAATCATTTGTACGACTGAACCAACAAGTTAATGAAATGCCGACCTTGTCAATTGCCAGCGAAGTTTTGCCGCTTTAAGTTTTGTTTGATGATAGGATCTCTGATTTTCAAAGGGGTCCGATCCTTGCTGGTTGGGTACACAGTGCCCAAAAGATACCATGAGGCAGGGGGGCAAGAATAAGGCTCGGGCTACGCTGCTGAGACTCAACGTGCTGCTATCTATAAAATGTAGACTTAAAAAATTAATTGTGAATTAGAGCAGAATAACAAATTATGAATGCTGTTGGTTTTGTTGTAATCTTAAAATATTAATTTTAATTGTAAACTATTAAATCTTAATATCATCATCAATTAGGAATGAAAGAGCGGCGAGGCTCTCTCTGTGCTTCTGGCTGCTAAAAGATGATTATGCGGGGGCAAAGATCAGGAAGGGACTGTACTGGGAGGGTTTCTTTTCCTGATGGAAACTCTCCTGAATTTCTCACTGTTTGCACTTTCTATTTAAAAACAAGTTACTATGATTAGAAAAGCTGTGCGTGCTGGTACTTGTGCATGACAAGTTTCCCACATACTGGTGTTTTTGATGAGGTATCATTCTTGCTGGGGGTACTGAATACGAGTCTCCAAGCTGGCTGTCTAATGACTGTTATTGTGTTATTCTTCGTATTACACCAGGGCTCATCATGTGCTAGGTGCTGTACAAATTCACAAGAGAAGAGTCTTAAGCCCAAGGAGTTAAACTAAATCAGGAATAAGGGGGCATCTGCCCCCCCGCCAACACACACAAAAGTATGCTTTTGTTCTGTAAATTCAACCCGTACATTCAATCTGCTGGAGGATTTTTAAGAAGGGTGGCTGCACTTCCCTACCTACCATCACTGTTTCAGTGTTCAATATCCCATTTAGGATTATTACCCCAGCAGTCTTTCCTGCCCCCCTAACATCGATGAATCAACATCATCATCATCATTTTTTACTTTCAAGACCTAGCCTTTTCCTGATTTTAAAGGCAACGACTGAGTCATTATTATTTTTATGGATATAAAAATAAAAGCCAGAAAGGTAACACTCCTTTGCTCCATAAACATGCATTTCTATGACTCTCCTGTTAGGAGGCAATTTGACTTCTTTTCATGTAAACCTGTTACGTGATGATAATTGCTACAGACACAAAAGCAGATCTGAATCATTTTCACAAGGAAAAAAAAATAGGCAGTGTCACAAGGGGGGGCTGCACCTACTGCTATAGGCCAGTGGTTCTGGGCTGCTGGTGCTGCCACTCTGATCAAGGTTGGACTTGATGATAAAACTGCACAGTTTCTGGACCTGAATCAGCCTGTGCAGACTGTTTCTTTAGACACTGAAGTCAGAGAGCAGTAAGGCCGCTGGGCCTGGAGCACTGCGAGATTCTGCGTCTTCCTTCCCTATTGCAGCCTGGACACATGGCTGCATAAGATGTAGAATCTGGCAGGCAGCAATCACTTAGCAGGTGTTGTTATTGGCAGGGATACTAAGGAAACCCAAGTTGAGGAGTGGGACTTAATGAAAAACAGTATATAAAAACAGCTTTTGTGTGTTGTGCTCGAGAATCTCTTTTTATTGCTGCATATCATTACTTTTGCAAACGATAAAGTATAGCTACAGCAGCTAAAATGCTCAGTCATTACCTCAACGGTTAAAAGACTATTCTTTTTGAATACTTTGTTTTTACAGTTGCTAAAAACAGTATTTCAAAACAATCCTAATTGCTACGGTTAGGGTAAAAGAAAATAAGTTAAGAAAAAGGGATATCTAACAGTGCATTGCATTTAAAATGCCAAAACTTTCTTTAAAAGTTTCATGTTGTTTGCACAAAAGTGGATGTGCTACCGAGTACTCAGAATTACTTGCTGGGCAGAGTGAGAAAAAAAAAGTGGCATTTTTTTTCCTTCCCAGGTAGCAGCTCTCTGATATTTAGTTAATACCTCAAAGCGGATCAAGCTCCTGATTCATGCTATGATGCTGACCTCAGACCTGAATGAAAATGCTGTGTGTGAATGGGGTGGGGGGTGAGGTTGGGAAGAAGGGACCTTACTAGCAAGAACAGAAGAAATAATTCTTGAGAGACTGTGTTGTTTTGTTTTGCATTGAAAAAATTCCCTCCTGCACCACTACGTCCTGGCTCATTCCCCAAGGACGAATGGATTTGTTTTGAAGTATTTTAATTTCAGAGACTCTTCACACCCTGCAATAATGGGAGTAATTCCATATTTTTCATGGAATAAGCTGCGAGACGCTTCATTTTCCTTCTAAAACGCTACACAGTTGGGCATCTCAGTTACACAAATCACGTCAAGCACTTGAGCGTATTTATTATTACTACTATAATGGTTCACTCTCTCCCCAGTTTCTCCCCCACACTTGCACCCCACCACGCTACTTCCTCACTCTCTGCACAATAGTCCTTGCAGCAGTAGGGCCCAGAACAGCATGCATGCTGAGCAGCACCGATGGAGACTTCTCCACACGACAGCCCTGCATGTACAATTATCTGCCAGCGACTTGGGCCACGATTCAGCCAAGGGCTGAAGA